TAATTATGTAATCTATATGTTATATCATTGTGACAATTTTACGCAAATATTTTTTTGTTATCTAAAAATGCTCGCAAAGAAAACAAAAAATTGGATTATTAAGAGGCCCATGAGCCACAACAGTCACCTGATTCACCTTGGCCCTGCTGTTCTTCAGAACAAACTTGATTCTACACTACCAGAGGATGCTAGCATTGTAATATGACTAATCATGGCCAAGTTGTTCTTTATAAAAACTTTTTAAATGATTTTATTCTTTGATGATCTATTGTGGCCCTACCCTACCCAGTGGGTCATGTTTTTTGGGGGAAAAAACTTGAATCTACACAACCTGAGATGTTAACATATCATTGCCCTATCAATCTTGGGATAATTTTTTTTTACCATATATATTTCCAAGTTAAACTTTGATCCCCTATCATAGCCCAACCCTATCCCTGTGGGCAATGATCTGATCATACTTGAATCTACACATCATCGCAAACAACAGCCAAAATGTACGATCCTCTCCCATTCTGGTCGTGGTTGAATAAGAAGAGAATATTTCGTAGCTCATTAAAATATTGACCAATGCAAGTAAAGTATAGTCAGATGATGAACTTTGATGCGACCTTTCAATACCCAATCGCAGTATACTAAACATTTCTTGTATACTGTTGATGTCAATTGTTGATTTCAATTGCGATGGAAACAAATATTGTCATTGGCTGAACATGACATCACAATACAAAGGCATAAATATTCAAGATTACAACATTTTTTGTGATCAAGCAGCCACGGGTAGGATAGAGCTTTTTGCAGACTCCGAACCGTGGCTTGAGACGATGGAATCTACACATCTTTGAGAATACTTGCTTTATGTTTGATACCCATGCTGTCCATCGACGCAGTTTAACAGAAAAAGTAATTATTAAATGCAACATTTTATTTTCTAAATTAATTGTATAAATTGGTATTAACTGATGTATGAAAAAAATACAAATTTACAGAGATAATAAACTAGAATCTATAAATATGCACAGTTTAATTGTTTATCAAGGACTTTGACATGATATTGGCTTCACTTTTATGGACCCCGCTTAAGTGACTTGTCAAAGTGTGATCAGTCAAGCATCTAATAACCTAATATCGAAGTTTGCACACGGACACCCTGTCCGACCACAGTGTTTATTTAGTGGCTTCTTTTTAGTGTCTATTATCGATCAGTAATGATAAACACAGAGTGAAATTATTTTAGCCAAAACTTTTACAAATACCAAGTCCCAGCATTTTAGACATCATAATAATTAACCTTCCTATTTTGTATAGATTTGTTAAGGAATGGTTTTGTGCTTTGAATTTACATTGCAATACCATATTTGGCTGAATACGCACTTTTTTCCTAGAAAATGTTTTCGTGAGAAAGGGGTGCGTATTTTACACAATAGGATTTTGATAGTTTTTTCTTTCAGGTGAAACACGGCTATCATACAGACATATCGTAGTATTACCTAGAGACATGGGCAATTTCTTGTTGTTTATTGCTGTATTTAAAACTTCGGAGAATTATTGTTGGAACATTGGCTTTTTGAAAATGTTATAATTATAATCTGTTGATAATCATAATCTGTTGTTAAATGATACTAAAAACAAGATACAATTAATTTGAGCTGCATATTCATCGTCTCCATGTAGGCCGCCACTGACAATGTTATTTATAGACGTTCACGCATTCCTTTGCCACGTGCTTGCGTAATCATAGTACACATGTACCTAATCAGACACTCGGTTGGAAAAAAAAAATAATTGAGCAATTTTATAATGAAATACAATAAATCAACATTTATTTGGGGTTTCAAATAACACGGTGAAAATTCATTTCAAATTAACACCCGCTATACCACTGTATACTATATGTTCCAACTGAAGCCCATGTTGTGAACACATGCGCTTATCACTTGATCTCAACACCCCTCCAGGCAAATAAATTGTCTACCAACTCCTAAGCATTGCTTTTACATTTAGAACACTGATTGTTTACTGCCCTTATTAATGGCTTTGATCGTTTTCTTTGTTAAAATTTGTGTTGATTACGACACATTAAATAGTTAAACGCTTGTTAAATGTAATTTTACTTTAATTATCTTATATTTATCGGCCACTTGTTAAATTAATTAAGAGTTTAAAAGGGAAATATGAAATCTGTTAAAACTTACGTATTATAATTACTCTAAAGAAAATAAGATATCTGCGAAGATTACCTTGATGTATTTATACCGTGTCGATCTGTTCAAACTTAAAAATAAAATAAAATGCAATAATATTTCATGCCTTCTTGAATAAAATCTTACCACACGCTTGAATAAAATCTTACCACACGAAGATTTAAGTGCAAGATTGATATATTTAGCCTGATGTAAATTTAATGGGACAACATTTTCTGCTTTGTTAAAATTAATAAAATTATACAGGGATTTTTAAAGACAACATTGCCGTTAGTTTAAAAAATGATTTATAATGCAAAATTTAATTATTTCTATGAATAATACCGCCATGCTTAAAATCAGGAGTACTGCAAGCTCAAAAAACAAAGTCAGCACATAAAAAATTACCGTGCTTAAATTTTCAATACATTATTTCCACAAAGATTTTATTAATAAGTTAAAATTACTGCGATGTAAAAAAGACAACATTACTGCTTGGTCAATTTTTTGACAGTATATAATACAACCAAACTGCGTTTTTTCCCAAATTTTCAAGCCAAAAAAGGGGGGTGCATATTTTACAATGCATATTATATTTGAAGCCAAATATGTTAAGTGTTCTATCTTATAAAACTGTTACTATAATAACGAGACCCCACTGTATATGCAAAGGCTTCAGATGTGCTATTAATACTCAAGGCTCATGAGAGATCCAAATAACTCCTCCCTTAGCCTCTTTTTCTTATCTTTCTTCAATTTTTTAAACAAACAAGAGGCCTATGGGCCACAGCACTCACCTTCATCACCTTGGCCCTGCTCTTCTTCAGAACAGTGGCCCCACCCTATCCTTCAGGGCCATGATTTGAACAAACTTGAATCTACACTTGCTGAGGATGCTTGCTTATTAATATCACTAACCATAACTGTGCTGTTATTGAGAAGATTTTTAATTTTTTTTTTGCCTATATTTATTCCTATGTTAAACATGTTAATGATTCATCTCCTATTGTGGACCCATCCTATCCCCTGGGGTCATAATTTGGACAAACTTGATTCTACACATCCTCAGGTATCTATACATCCTTAAATATGGAAGCATCCACTAATCATGGCTTCGCTGTTCTTGAGAAGATTTTTAAAGAATTTTTCCATTATATTCCTATGAGAAATGTTGATTACTTAATGTGACCCACCCTACCCCTGGGGGTCATGATTTGAGCAAATTTGAGTCTGCACTACCTGCAGATATCTTAGTATGACTAATCATGACTTTGCTGTACTTGAGAAGATTTTTAAAAGATGCCATATTTTCACTAATTCTTAATTTTCTCCCCTTAAAAAAGGGCTTCATTTGAACAGAATTGAATCCCCTTTACCCAAGGATGCTTTGTGGCAAGTTTGCTTCAAAATGGCCCAATGGTTTGCAAGAAGAAGATGAAATTGTGAAAAAATTATGATGAACAACAGGGCACAATGATTTTTTTCTACCCATGGGGAAAGGGTCCGGTACCGGTTCAATTGGGAAAAATAGCATCGAAGTAGAACAAAGGAAAATTTTCTGTCGTTAAAACAAATGAAACATATTTTGTGTCTATTCCAACCTCATTACCTATTACTCAGGGCTAGACAAATAGCATTGCCCGACGCCCGGGACAACCAATTTTGTTTGGCGGGCAAGATATTTGATAACTGGTACCTGCTCGCGAACAAGTGTTTTCCAGTTAACAAAAAATCCTGTACTCAAATATTGTTTTGTTTTATCGCTGTTAAAATATAATGAATCGCAGCAGAGAACATCTGTTTTCGATGCATGCAGTTGACCACTACATCGAATACTTGGTAGGAACTCCTCTAGAATTACCCATTCATGTGACTTGTCTTGATAAAATATACCCTTACTCGACATTCAGGAGTGTTTTTCACAATTAAATAATGTAGATACAAGTGTATAGTTTTCATTTTCAAATTAGAGAGAAATGTATGAGTACATGTTCATGTATATACATTGACATGTACATGTGTGTAAATTTTTAAGTTAAATCATTGCACAGCTCAGATGCTCACAAGTCTCCCTAGAATTAGAAATTTCCCCCTTAATTTCTCCGTGGGAGAGTTAAGTGATTTGGGGTCAAAGTTGGTCCTAAATGTTAATGATAATGTTTTAAATTTGTGTTTTTTTTAAGAAAAAGGTGGGACAAGCATATTTTTTGGTAGGACAAGTAACTTTAGGAGGGTAACCTGTCCGAGGGCAAGTACTGAAAAGTTCTATTTGTCTACCCCTGTATTACTCTGTGTTTTAAAGAATAAACAACAAGTATTCATTGTTTTTCACATTAATGTCCCGTTTTCGCATTTTCATGCTTTCAATTTGTCAAAATGTATGACACTACGCTGTCTACACCATAGGTCCCGCCATATTACGACTAATTTCTACTTTCGATTTAAGCGGAAGTGAAACAATTAGTCAACTTGTACAATGTTTCATATAAAAAGAAATACGATGTCATTGTAGTCTGTTGCTTGGCAGTTGAATTGTGAATTTTTAGTCTCATATTGGGAAAAATTAACGTTTTTGGCATTGGGAATGGTACCGTTTATCGGTACCAGTTATATACGGAAAAAAAACGCTGGGCCAATAACAACAGACAACAGATGGATAAGAAAAGCTCTACTTAAGCCTTTGGCTAAAAATGATAGTTACAGGTGACAAATGATAACAGATGGATAGATATTCCAGTCAATTGAGTATTCCCTTCAATGTAGCATTACTGTTTTCCTTTGACCCTTACTATTTACCTTTGACTCTTTGACCCTTACCTTTGACCTTTAGATGAACATGAGTAAGATCTTCTCCACCTCCATCTGTGTAAGTCAGACTGCACTCATATAATCCTTCATCACTACTCTTTATATTGGACAGTTCTAAAGATGACTGGTTCACTAAACGAACACGACCTCTGTAACCTTCCCTTATGAATTCTGGGTAATGCTGCATTTGTTGAAAGACCAGGATTTTTGTAAATGAATTGTCACTATACTTCACCCATCGAATTAATGTTGCATGTGACGTATTACTTTTCATGAAACACTCCAAAACTTCCTTTGAACCTGCATCCACAAATTTAACTGTAACTCCCTCAGCTTTTACGATACCTGTAAAAGAGTCAAGATTGTCAAAATAAATATGCTAAATACATGCATAATCATAATAACAATATGAAAATGCTCCAATTTCATGATTTCCAGCAAGAATAGAACAAAGCATCCATAAATGCATCAGATGTGAATTATGATTTGGAAATCACATAATTATGATACGTTTTGAACAGACTTGAGTGTAGTCTTGCATGTACCTAGTCAATCAAGCAGAGAATGTAGGTCAGATGGTACCAATTTTGATGCATCAGATGCACATTTCGACAAGTTATGTCTCTTCAGTGATGCTCATGCCAAAACATTGGAAATCCGAACTTTTTTTTTTTTAATTTTTTTTTTAAACTTTGAAGAGCTGTAAAAAGGGAGGTGTCAAAGACTGGAGCCAAATACGTCGAAGGATCAGAGCTATGTATGAGGGACATAATCCTTAATTTTGAAATATATTTCTAAATTTTACCACAGCAATTAACTATATATCCAGATTTTCAAGCTTGTACCAAAGTACTTAGCTACTGGGCTGTAAAGACCCTCACAGCACAGTTAAGGCTACAAAAAGGGGGCGGAGCCTAATTTGCACGGGAAAAATTAACTATGACATCATACAAAACCAACAATTCTAAAAAATACCTCAAAATGAAATGATTTGCTATTTTAAACTGCAAGATACCATCAAACTACATCAAAATTTACTACAACATTCTGTTTTGTCATTAGTTAAATCCCAAATAACAAGGTATAAACAAGTAACTGATCGCAACGCACTTGTCAATGTGACGTCATTTCGTAAAACTTGACGCAGTTTGTAGGCAGTGAGAGGCGGATCAAGTAATATTTTCTCAACGAAAAATGTATTCTATAGCTAAATAAAATATTACTTACAGATATTTCTTAGGCCATTAACTTGGATTCAATGTCTTCTTTAAGACTTTATTACTATATTTTCTGTACATTTCCTATTTAATTGATACTGCCGTATATTTGTACGCAAGTATATTGGAGGGTAATATAAAGGTCTTAATAAATCGATCTAGTGCAAGGGCATACACTCAATGGATCGATCATAGTAAGCTTTTACAAATCAACTTTAGAAGTATTAAGGTATCTGAAAAGTGCTGCGATCCTGATGAAATCTTGAAAATAATAATTATATCTATATTTAATGCTGTTGACCAGCAAAAAATACAGCATTGGTCATACAAATATGATTTTAACAATGAAATAGCAGAATCTATATAGGACTTGCTCAATACTGCAAGTAAATGTGCTAAAATCACATGACTGCTGCATCACGTGACAAGTCTAAATATAAAATCTGATCATCCTCCATATGTAGTTATTAACCATAATTACATTTGTCCGATATAAATATAATGTACTAAAAATAATCGTTATCCAGATTATGAATACATTTTTAATCACAAAAAATTGTCGATATTTCCAATGCGCACCTTAACTGTACTGCGCTTTGGGACTAACAGTCCACCAGCAGAGGCGTCGACACAGGGGTCATAATGTAAATCTCATACTTTACCAATTTTGATCCACCGGATGTGCATTTCGACAAATTATGTCTCTTCAGTGATGGACATATGGAAACTAACACTAATATATCTGAACTGTCTAGAACCTGTAGTAGCAATGTCTAATGCTATATAAAATCTTTCTGACATGAAATCATTTCAAATTATAGTAACAGTGCAAAAGCACAAGATTTACTCTCAGAATGCTCCATAAGATAACTGTGTGTCCTATTTCTAAATAATCATGCTTACATTCTGCTGTAAGTGTACCCAATATAATTACAAATATAGTATTCACATTAATTTCATTCCTAAAATTGGATGTCATTAGATGAGAACAAGAAAAAAGATATTGAGACTTATCCTACACAGTAATTAGATGATGTGCTGCATTGAATGCATTCAATGAGATCTGTATAGAGTTCCAATGTTAGAAAATTGCCAATATCCTACTTTCTTTCCTGTGCTTGTAAACGCTCTCTCCTGGAAACAGTTATCACTAAATATAGTAACACAATAAAACAAAAATTGCCCATATCTTTAGACTCTTTCCTGTTATTAACATTTACTGAATTTTTATATATAAGCATATTTAACCAAACTAATATAAAAGCAAACATTCAGAATAAATATTAAAGCTATCAAAATTCAAATACCTTTAAGGAAATTATGAATGCTTGTTCAGGTATTTAACTTTTACAATTTTCTTCATACTCTACTTAAATTTACAACTGTCCCAATTCAGTAAAACATGCTTAAAAGCAAAGCGCCCCTACGCACAAATTTTATTCAATATTTAAATGTATTTAGTTATATCCATTAAGTTTGTAATATGTTTTATAACTACAGAGAATGAAAATCACTCTGTTGTAAACATAAATTCATTGTAAGCATGTTCTCTATAACCTCTCACATTTTACTGTGCATATAGAACTAATATCCCCCCCCCCCATAAATGGTTGATTGGTAGACATCATCTGTATTGATGCTTTTGTCACCATCTACAGTCCTAGAGTTTAAAAGTCATGACCCAAAGAACATTTAACTTTCAAGTCATTGGACCTTGACCTCATACAAACAACGGTGACTTGACAACCAAGACTAATGACAGACCTTTTTGTTAGGGTTAGGCATTGGTACTCGGTATCCATACCATACCAAATAGTTATATCTAAATTAACCCCGAAATACCATTTCAAGTACCAATATCAGTATATTATCCTCTTTTTTCAAATTCAAGATGATTGAAAAAATCAGTTCAAAAATATATAACCACATAGTGAATAAAACATAAAAAAAAATACATTAAATGACAGCTCTGATTTGCCGAGGAAAGGTCAACTCTTTATAATGTATAGGTTTGTGCATAAGCTAAGAAATCTCAACATTATAGGTCTTTTTCTTGCTCTACAGTACTGGAAGTAGGGTAATATCTCTACAATTCAATATAGTTTAATTACATAAAACAGCACGTTATCAGGCCTCCGTCATACTGATTAAATGAATCACAAAAAACTCATATTTAATGACACAGAAAAAATATTCTAAAGCAGCTTTTATGCAATTTTTGTTCTAATTTCGGTCAATATCAGGGCATTGTTGGAGATAATTTGAGACAAAATTGAAGCATGCTTCTTACACCGAAAATGTCATCTTCACCAATATCTAGTTGCTTATTGAAATTCTTTAATCATTGCATCTATAGTTGTCGATAAAAGTGTCTGTGAATGTTTTATGAGTAGTCTGATTGATTGAAATTGTTTTCTTGTCTGTCTCGTCTCCAGAAAAAGTCAATTTTTTAACTTGGTGATGAACTCCATATCTCTCTGTTGTCTCTTAATTTAAAGAACTGATCAAATTACAAACATAAAATAATATGGTTTGTAGATGATATCATGTGTTTGTATCTGAAAACAAAAATATTCTTGATTTCATTATATCCACATTAATCGAGTGTGGACAGACACAGCACGCTCTCTGGCTTATCCTGTGCCATACTTCCACATCATGCCTGCAGACATCAATGGTAGCAAGCAAACCTTAAAACACTTTAAAATCTTAGATACTGCTTCACCAGAACATCATGAAATAAAGAACCAAAGGGTGTGTATGAATCTATCATTAACTCATGGTTTGTACGATCTTAACCTGAAATGATGAAAATGCACATCTCACTGAATCAGTCTATAATGCTGAGTCCACAGTGTTTTAAGGCTTAAAGCTGCAGACAAAAAAAAAAACCTAAAACAGTAATTTAGTCTCCTTTCCTGCTTAGAGTAGGGGCATCAAAATGAAAAGCAAATACCTTATAATGATATATCTATATTATTACATACTTGTAAATTAAGTCATAACCAACTTTTAAATAAACATTACATTTATGATTAACCAGAAATTATATGTCCATAGGACATGAATGCCCCTCCCAAGGTTCAATTGTATTGCACTACTGCACTACATAGAAATATATTTACATCCATTGAATATTTTCTCCTTTATTTTCTAAAGAAAACAATTGCTGTTTATCAGTTCGTGAACAACACTAGGCATATCACCTGTACAGATTTCTTGATCAGTGGCTCTTCCATCAAATAAACGTACAATGATGTACATATCAATAATACAATAATTAATCTTTTTAATCCTATTTCAAATGATTATTTATACAGATATAAATATAAACAATAAAATGTCTTTCTTTGGTTGTTAGCATGAGAATTAACGTCGCAGCTATTGCAGAAAAAATTTACATAACCCACTTACGCGGGTTATGTATTTTTTCTGCAATAGCTGCCACATTAATTCCCGTACTAACAACCAAAGAAAGCATTTTATTGTTTAAATAGTCTCCTTCTTTGGTCTGAGATATCAGTAAAACAAACTGAAAGTTGGTATATATATATATATATATATATATATATATATATATATATATATATATATATATATATATATTTTAAACATATATACAGAACTGATACCCTTAGTCACATCTGTTGTCCTTTATAGCATAGTATTTAGGGATGGTTCATTCCATCTATCTTCTAAGTTAACAGCTAAATGTGATTTATCAGTATATAGACTTTATGAAAATGAAAATGAGGAAAAAAAGTTTAATCCAATGTCATGGGGTAGGTCAAGGGAAAAATAGTTTGATTGCAGCATATGATGTACTTTATTTGTTCTCATTAATTATCTTGAACACTTTTTTTTAAATTAAGGTAACTTAACAGAATGAAAAAATAGTCAGGTCAAGGTCATTGGAAAGGTCAAGAAAATAATGACACAGTTGAATTGCTCTTACCAAAATATATCTTGGTATATGAATTTTATTTTAAAATCTTCAAAAGTGAAGAAAAGGATTTGGGAAGGCCAAAGTCTTAAGGAAGGTCAAGGTCAAAATATTATGAGATTTTAATTGCTCAAATATGTAGCTTTGTATGAAGTTTTATTAAAATATCTTCTAAAGTGAAATTG